GCCTTGACATCGGCCACCAAGTCATCCAAATCGACGGAAATTTTATTCCCTAGCCATTTTTTCAGCGAACGGTTGACGAGATAATCCATAGAGGTTTCTGCTGGTGAGTATGGCATTTAGGGGCAGATCCCATTTCCTGGTAGGCTTCGGCTGATTATTCCATCGCCGAAAAGTTACTGAGATCGCGGAATGACTCTGCCATCTTCCAACCTTTGTCGAATTAGTTGAGCCTGATTTCGCGAATATTCGAGTGGTTTTCTGACTACGTTTTCATAGAGGAAATCGAGCAGATCATTTCTGGGAAGAACCCGAATTCTTTGTTCAAATTCTATCGCAAGAAAAAAAAAGCCACGAAAAAACCGCAATAATTACGCATCAACCTAATCTTTTTGTTGAAATTCGGTCCTGACATAAACCACAAAATTCGATGTAAGAGTTAGGCTGTTCTTGATAGCATGGATAATCTCGAGCCGGTGACTGAGGAAGGGCTGGGTCGTGTCATAGTTGCATTCTCTCGTGATAGGGAAGAGATATTTTGCTGCGGCAGCTAGAACTGGCAACTCTGAGAAGAGCAAGGTCCACTGAGTCAATCTCCGAGTGATTCAATCTCCTGTATCACTTATCATAAGGAACGGGTGCCACGGGTCTTCGTTCGTTCCTATCGCAAGCCAGAGTAGCCAAATGGATAGTCTTCGCTCGGGTACGCGAGCATAGCTCTCCTTCTGTTCATAGTTTTGTGATAAAGTCCGACCACGCATTGGCCGCCGTTTTGATATCCGTTTGACGTTCCTAGGGATCCATTCAGTAATCACTCTGGCTCAATTGGTACCATGGGGTCAGAAAATTCCCCTCTCAGCTTAGCATTTCTTTAACCCTGAACACTTGTGGCCCAGACATTGAATGTCCCTATACACCCGGCTTGTAAAAAGTGCTGAATCGGTCCGATTGCTTCGAATAAGAGCGATGAAAGAGAAGATTCCTACAGCTTTCTTCCATTAATATTGAAGGCTCGCGATCAAGCTCAGACTGGTGCTTTATTTACAGGCAGGAATCCAAATCAAATGCCTGATTCACCGTATGTGACGGCAATTTTTGACCTTATACGAACTACAAACTTCAATTATCACCTTGCAAGGCAAACACTTCGGGATGCCGTAGATGCTCATCTTAGAGGGTAGGTTGACTTCCAAGCATGTCTGGATGACACTGAAAATATACTGTGCAGTTTTTAGGCCGTTAGTATTGGAATGGGCACCGAATTTGCGTGTTCCCTGGACCGATCATTGCCAGACCATTCGCCGAGACATAAGTTGCGTTGATCTTAGAACTGACAAGACTTCTCGAACATCACGAAGCTCCGTCGATACGACAATGAGGTCGATATATGACGAACCGACGGCCAGATCTTCTTATACCAGTGTTTATCGGCAAAAACAAATGCAAAAACAACCACGGAAGTACGGTAGAACTAGCCGTGTGTCAGAGCCACAAAGGCGGACAAGTGAAACAGAGGTGTCTCTGGTAAGCAAGGTTCCACCAGAGAAGCCTACGCTGAGGTTACCTGTGAAGAAAAGCCAATATGTGAGGGCAGATGAAGATGACAACACAAAAACGGCAAGGATTCCTTTAATGGAAGAACAACCTAAGCCTGAAAAGAAACGCTCCTCTAGCCAAAAACCATCGAGTGATTCAAGAAACATTCATGGGGTACCGCTAGCAGAAGATGATGAGGATAAAAAGCGTAAGACTGAAAAAAGAAGTCCGACTCGTAGGTATAGGGTGCCAAAACCAGGCGAAAACGTTCAAGGGCGCCCATATATTGATGATGAAGATGACAAGCGCAAGCTTAAGAGCTCAACATCACGTAGCCGGTCCCAATCACGCATACAACAGCGTCAACAACAACAACGTCAACAACAACAACAACAACAACAAAGAAGACCGTCTCCACAAAGGCAAAGGCCGAGTCGGCAAAAATTCAGAAGACGAGGGGAACAATTTTCGTCCGGTAGACGTAAAGAGGCTGCACGAGCTGTTTCCTAGTTTCAGTATGTCGAACCATTCGAGGGGAACTTCTGACATATACTCGACTGAGGGTGAGGGGTAGAGTTTAATGCGCTGCTGTGTTTAATAATAACCACCAATTACCACTTGTACTCTATTAAGAAAGTTATATTATCACAGTAACGCTGCAAAACGCTCAGTAAAGTATAGTTATTATTAATCCATTTTCATACCGTGTATCCCTCGATTGAAGCTGAATAAATATTCTATCGCTTAGTATTGTTCATAACAAAAAGTTTAGGTACACAAACTTGGAGTACACACTTTTCCCTGAACCTTTGGCTTACCAACAACCATTACATTCCTTTGAAATACATTGCGTACCTTCCGAATCCGGATATGCTCATAGCAGTCGGAATTCACGGCTTATGCCAAACGACTCTTCTTTCCGAATACAAAACGCATCTTTTTTGCTACCAAGTCGGTGACCCATCTCATTGTCAGCAGAAGATTCCTTTTGTCATCGAATGTTATTCGAGATCAACCTGAATACTCCTAAGGCTCAATACCGCGACACTCTTTACCACTCGTTATGTTATCCCACCGAAACCGCTCACGGCTGTCTTGAAATTCCCCAAAAATCAAGAAAATCCTAACAAAATATCTCAATGTGAACAGAAAACTTGGTAGAATTACCTTCAAAAGCCTTTCCTAAGTGAGCTAGGAGAAATCGTTTGAAAGGAGTGGGCATTCGTGAATCGGTCATAGCCTACAACTGTGATGATGCTAAGGTAAAGGTCAAGACTGTTAGGAAAAGGAGAAAACGAATCCGTTCTGCAAAGAAACGAAGCCAGGTATAAATAAAGAGCCCAGAAGCTCCTAATTCTCATCGTAATGTCAAAAGCGAATCATTTATTAAACATACAATCATAAAAATAAAAAGAATATAAGACAGAACCCGTTATACAATGATCTATCGGCCTGATACCTGTACCGAATGTTTACCAACACGAAACATTTAGATATCACATGATAATATCACTTTGCACTATAGATATGCTCACATAAAGAGCACTATGCAAAAATTGATCAATTAATTTGGTCATTCAATCGATCATACATATTGATTTCCGTGGAAAAATCGAATGTGCATTCGGATTTTTTTGTTTGTTTTTTTGGGAGGAATACCATTCAGTATTCTTGCTCCGAACCAAAGGCAGCGTTCATCATGGAACATTGAGAACCCGGAAAAATCAGGAATATTCCGGGTAGCAGAAAATAGCTAAACCTTAGGCCTACCCTAATGGATGGGCGAGGTGTGTGAAGTGGGCGGGACTCGTTAGATCCTCCAAACGAGCGAGTCTAGCCGAGTCGGGATTCGATTCGAGGTTGTGAGGAAATGTAATGCATAGAAATCTAAGGTATCCCTCCAGATGAACACTGCGTTCGGAAAGCAACATAAGTAGACCATAATCAGCGGCTGAAGTTAATTTTCAGAGCTCGCCACTTCGCATGCTTTTCTTCTTTCATTCTTCCTGCACGTTGAACTAGGGTTTGTTCTCCATGGCCAGCGATTGTTCAGCTACAGATGTGTTTGTTCGGTATCCTGATAGAATTTCATACTGGGATCCGAGTGTTGATTCCTAAGTGGTGTAGCGGCACCATTACTTGAATTATACCGTACCACACTTTGCGGTGAGCTATCGAGTATCGTTTTTGCCATGTCGCCAACAGAGCGACCAGCGTTGGACCTGAAACCGAATCTGAAGTACTCAATCGACTTGTTAGTAGGAAAGAACCTTTTCTTCCAGAGTGGGGCAACTTTAGTAAAATGACGTTTTCACTTGAAAAAGTCCATCATGGGGACAAAATTTCGAGATTGCGGCAGAGAGAGAGTACCATATGGAAGATAATGATATTCGTACTAAGTAATACAAGATGACGATACTCATCAAGCAGAACGTAACCCACAAGTTTGGGAGAGGGGTGGAGGGGGGGGGGG